TGGCGGTGTCAATTCTGGGAAACCCAAAGGTCGCCAGGTTCCCTAAGGGTTTCTGGCGTCCTACGGAATTCCGACACTTCGGCGGGGGCAATTCTGGGAAATCAGTATGTCGCCAGATTTCCTAGGGGCTTCTGTCGACATATGGGTTATCCTTAATTCGGCGGGAAGAATTCTGGGAGAACCATAGGTCGCCAGATTCCCTAGGGGTTCCTGGCGACCCATGGGTTTCCCACACTTCGGCGGGGACATTTCTGGGAAACCCATAGGTCGCCAAATTCCCCGAGGGTTTCTGGCGACCGATTGGTTTGTCCAAAACCGGCTGTGACAATTCTGAGAAACCCAGATATCGCAATATTCCCTGGTGGGTTCTGGCGACCGATGGGCTTCCCATAACTCAGCGATGACAATTCAGGGACTCCCATAGGTCGCCATCTTCGATAAGAGGTTTCTGGCGACCTATGGGTTTCCCATCAATCGGCGGGAACACTTTCAGGAAACTCAGAGGTCGCCAGATTCCCGAAGGTTTCTGGCGACATGTGCGTTACCCATAATTCGGTGGTGACAATGCTGGGAAACCCAGAGGTCGCCAGATTCCCTAAGGGTTTCTATCGACCTTTGGGTTTGCCGTAATTCGGCGGTGACAATTCTGGGAAACCCAGAGGTCGCCAGATTCCCCAAGGGTTTCTATCGACCTATGGGTTTCCCAGAACTCGGCGAGGGCACTTTTGGGAAACCCATAAGTCCCCAGGCTCCCTAAGGGTTTCTGGCGACCTACGGGTTTCCCATAATTCGGCGGGAGCAATTCTGGGAAACCCAGAGGCCACCAGATTCCCAAACGGTTTCGGGCGACCGATGGGTTTCCCCTCATTCAGCGGAGACACTTCTGGGAAACCCAGAGGGCGTCCGATTCGCTAGGGGGTTCTGTCAACATATGAGTTTCCCCGGGACAATTGTGGGAAACCCATAAGTCGCCAGATTCCCTAAGAGTTTCTGGCGACATATGGATTTCCCTTACTTCGCAAGGAACAATTCAGCGAAACCCATAGGTCGCCAGACTCCCTGGGGGTTTCTGGTGACCTATGAGTTTCCCATAAGCTGTCGGGGACAACTTTGGGAAACCGATAGCTCACCTACGGGTTCCAAATAATTCGGCGGTAAGAACTACGGGAGGCCCAAAGGTCGCCAGATTCCCTAGGGGTTTCTGGCGACCTATGGGCTTCTTTTAACTCGGCGGGGACAATTCTGGGAAACCCACAGGTCGCCAGACGTCCTAAGGGTTTCGGGTGACCTATGGGTTTGGGAGGTCGTGGGACTGGCGTCTGACGCCCTGCGACCTCGGGTTTCCAGAATTCGCCTTTGGAAATTAGCAAATTATGGGAAACCCATAGATGGACGGCAGCCCCCTGGAGCCGCGCTACAGCGCCGTACCAGAGGTGGAGGCCCTCAATCTGGGGCTCAAAACCAACAAAAACCGATGGAACAAAAACAACATATTCGGCCTCTTGGGCCTCTTGGGACTTCAAGAGGGCCTCAAGATGACCCAAGATGGCCACACAACTGCAACATACGGCCCTAGATGGCTCCAAGAAGCCCATGAGGCCCCCAAGACGGCCCCAGAGGGCGCCAAGAGGACCCCCAAGAGCGCCTCCAGAGGCCAACCGCATTATTTGCCCTAAGGTGTTTGTAGGATTTTAGCGTTCTCGTCTTTTCCTTAAAAGTCCATGACAGCCCAAGCAGCCTCCAAAGGCCAAAATGGTCCCAGGACGGCAGGCCCCCAAGAGGACCCCAAGAGGGCCCAAGAGGGCCCCCAAGACGGCCCAAGAGGACCCCAAGGGAGTCCACGGCGGCTGCGAGAGGCCCACAGGATGGCCGCAGGAGCCAAACGGCGCAAGAGCGCCCTAAAACGGCCCAAGATGCCACCAAGAGGCCCCCAAAAAGCCCCCAAGAGGCCCCAAAATGCCCACACGAGGCCTCCAGGAGGCCCCAAAGAGGCTTCCACCAGGCCCCACTTCGTCTGGACTGCACGTGCTCCGGACGTGCACCCCGCGAAGCGAGAGGAATCATTGAGTGTCCCACTGTTTTTTTGAATTTGGGCGTTCTCGCCTGTTCGGCATCCCGACGCTCCAAGACGACCCAAGAGGCTCCCAAGACCACCCCAAAACGGCCCCAGAGGCCTCCATGAGGGCCCCAATACAGCCTAAGAGCGCCCCAAGACGGCCCAAGAGGCGCCCAAGAGGGCCCCAAGACGGCCCCAAAAGGGACGCAAGAGAGGGAAAACGAACCGAAAATCCTAGCCTTCCACCCCAAGGGACCCCCAGGAGGCCCCAAGAAGCACCTAAGAGGTCGCAAGAGGCCCCCAAGGGGCCCCCAAGAGACCCCCAAGAGGCCCCCACGAAGTCCCCCACGAAGTCCCAGGACGGCCGCCAAGAAGCCTCAAAACTGACTCCAAGAACAGACAACCCAGGCACGGTGGCGGGACTTCCCGAAGGCAGCTGGATACAGCACACTTTGCACATGTGATAGCGAATAAAAATACTCAACTGCTGGATGTCAAGAGTCGGGGGGCGTCTGGGCTGCCTTGTCAGGCTGCGGGGCTCCACCCTGCCTTTGGCCCTCCCCATCTTAGAGCCGACCAGCTCGCTGCCGGCGCTGATCTGCAGTTGCAGAACAACGGGAAGTGGGTCGCGAGACTCGAGCATCAATGTAAAGCCGTTCGACGGCGCGACGTCGAGGCTCTGCGTACCCACGGACGGAGCAAGGCCGTTCGGACCCCTCACTCTCGTCTGCTCTGCGATAGATGTCCACCCTGCCGCCTGCACACCCTGCCGCCTGCAGCACCGCGTCAGTCCTCGTAGTAGTCCGGCGCCGCCTCGTTGAGCATCGCTGCGAGCTGCTGGGGGCTGCGGTGCCTGAGAGCAAACCCCACACCTGGTAGGGGCGGGACTGGCAAGCTGGTGGCGCACCACTCATCCTGCTGCGTCGGCTCCTGCTGAGTTGACTGAGGCGCCTCACAGGAAGCAGATGCGGTCGGCCATTCAGTATCTGCGCCAGTGCGCTTGTCGCGGTTAGTGACACGCTTCATGACGAGGAACTTGTCTGACCCGTGGCAGTAGTGGCAGCAGTCGCACGTCTCACCGCGCGGGCACGGAAGGCCGCCTCCGTTGCTGCGACAGGGCATGCATTGGCCCCTGCGGTGGTTCTTCGAGCCACGGGAGAATACGTCCACCTGGGGGAACGATAAGACGCCAATGCCGCTACTCCCCAGGCCTCTCAAGGAATGCGCTCTGACAAAGATCTCGAGACGAGTTGAGCTGTGGCGACGAGGACCCCACAGGAGGCCCAAAACGGCTAAAATGAGGGAACAGCAGCGGTATGGGTAGTTTTCTTCGGCGGCAAGCCCGGGGGGGAAGTAAGAGGGGGCGGGCCTCCACACATGGCTCGGAAGTCCCCCAGCCTTCAAAGAAGCACTCTGCCTTCCCCGAAGACATAGAGGACCTCTCAGACGGCTGGAGGGCCTCTGCGAATCCCCGCCTCCTTCGGAGAAAGACTTTTCCTTCTCACTTCCCCCGCGCGCTCGCCGCCGATTTCTTCTCTGCTCACCAGGCCCACGGACTGGTCCACGGCATCTGCAGGGAGCATCGGCCCGTCGGGCACGGCGCAGGCGGGGCGCTCGCTTGCCGGGGCCCCCAGCCACCCGAGGCGCCTTGCCCGCGCGCGCCCGGTCCTGGTCTGCACTAGCGCTGCCAACTCGGCCATCTCGGGACCAGACATGCGCGCTCCACGACTCGCAAAGAGAACTACTCGCAAATGCACTGGATCCGCCGCGGGGGAGTTACGATCCACTGCATCGGGGAGCACACGTGTTTTTGAAGGGGTCCAGGGACACACAAGTACATACACACAGATTCCCCGACTCCCCAATAGTTTCAAATCAGAGTGAGAGGGGGCCGAACGGTCATTCATTGTCCCTGGGTGCGTGGCTGAAGTGCGGATCCGTGGTGACGATTCTGCTTGATGTTGTTGTTGTTGTTGTTGCTGCTGTTGTTGTTGTTGTTGGTGTTGTTGTTGTTGTTGTTGTTGTGTTGTTGGTGTTGTTGTTGTTGTTGTTGTTGTCGTCGTCCCCCCGAAACCCAGCCCTCGACCCGCCCGCGGCCCGCCTTGCGACCCACCCGCGACCCACCCCGCGACCCAACCGCGACCCACGCGCGACCCACCCCGCGACCCGCTCGCGACCCACCCGCGACCCGGCCCGCGACCCACCCGCGACCCACCGTCGACCCTTCGCGACCCATCTGCGACCCAACCCACGACCCACTTATTTGATGTATCACACAAAACAACAACAACAACAACAACAACAACAACAACAACAACAACAACAACAACAACAACAACAACAACAACAACAAAAAACGGCGCCTGCGGCGGGCTCGATGTATAGCTTGAAAAACTTGCGCCTGCTGCGGGTTTTTTCAATGCCTCGCTGACTGCCGACATCCCCGCCGCCCCCTCACTCTTATCCGCAACTTCGGCTTGCTACGTAGTTGTTGGATTTTAGTCTTCCCCCACACCTCCCATATTTTCTCAGATTTCCCACGGAATCGATGACGCATTGTGTCTGTGTGTTTTCCCGTTTTCTGAGCTGTTGTTCAGAAGGTTGCAAGTACGCACTTTGCGAGTTGTGGCACGCTCTCGGCGAGTGGCGCGCTTGTAAAGGGGGAAACAAGCCCAGAGGCACGACCACACAAAAGCCCGATACCCGAGATCGTGAGCCAAGCGGCTGCATGCAAGACCCGCGGTGATGATGTCGCTGCCGAAGGGTACCCTGCAAGATCGCACATCCTTCTTTGAGCAGGGACTGGCCGTTCCGGCATTCCTATAAGCCTACCACGACATACTCGCAGAAACCAAGAATGTTCCAATGTGTTGCAGCATCGGCCAAAAATGCTCTCTGCCACTAAAAAGTCTTACTGCATTCTTTGGTGGGCCTACTGGCGAGCCAAGAGGCTTCGCCCCTGATTGACCTCTGGGCATCCGCCATCTCGCCTCCGGCTCGCCAAGGCGTGTGTCTGGTCGGGCTGCCACATGTAACTAGTGTCTAACCGTGCTGTGTTGCTGGGTCCTCTTTTTGAACCCGCATCGCCGCACGTTTCCTCCTTTTCCTCCTTTTCCTCCTCCTGCTCCTCCTCCTCTTCCTCCTCCTCTTCCTCCTCCTCCTCCTCCTCCTCCTCCTCCTCCTCAGTACCCGTATCGGTATCATGCGGAGATGGCGTCGATGCCACCTGCTCCAACAAATACCGAACAAATTACCACCCTACACGTCTGAGTCGGATCCTCCCGACTTCACGCCCTTGAAACGTTCCTGGGCCACCATACGCGCGATCAATTCAGCGCCCAGACCGAAACTCGCAAAAAGCTCGGGCTCGGTCCAGCGCTCTTCTGGGGGCTCGGACCCCTCGCTTAGCGAGGTGGTAGAGCGCCACATTGCTGGACGTCCTGGGAGGCCCGATCGCCCAGCCTCGGTACTGCGCCGCTCAGCTCGGGAAAAGCCCCTGGTCCATCCTCCCCCGCTGCCTCTTCAACGCGTAGGTGGGTTCCTGGCATCTCTTGGCCAGAGAGTCGACCCCGCCTAACGTGTATCCGCCACATTTCGTGCACATCGCAACTCTACTCCTTCCAGGGACAACCACACCGCTGGCGTCAAAAACCGAAGCCATTCCAAGCGCATGTCCCTTTAGAGAGATAGATATTTCCAGCTGTGGGTCGCGGTTCGACTCAGAGTCCAGGGTCGGGGAAACAGCTCGCGACCCCGAAATGTCAAGAGCAATAACCTTGTTGAAAAAACTTTAGCCGCACGTCGCTCGGCTTTCCTGCGTTTGGCCTCGCGCTCAGGAAATTCACCGTGTCAAGCAGCTGATGTTTGGCCTGGTGGGGATCCTGGGACCCAATCCACCTCCCCAGCTCCCGAGAGAAACCCACCGGGGCCTTACACTTCAAAAATTCGTCATATGCTGGATGGCGTAAAACCAAGCTTTGCGTACTCATCCGCGTTAGCACTGCCACGCTTGAACATCTCAGTCGTGCTACCCTATATTACATCGTGCATAGTGCCATGCGCTTTGACTTCGATGCGCTTTGACTTCGATGGCCAAATGCGCTGCCACGCGCGCGCGCTTATTCACGCGACTCACAGGCCACATCCCGTTACGCATGCGCGCGAGCGTGCCGCTACAACCACTGCGTATCACAATCCCGCCGACACAACACTGCGTCGCCATCAGAACAGCGTAGTCCTGCGCGTCGCACGACTGTTGACATGAACATGCATCTGCTGGCGCTGCACCGTACGCTGCACTTACAAAACGTCCATCTTTGCTCACCACTACCAATGCCCACCCTGCTCGTCGGAATCACCTCGACCTTGGATGCGTCGCCGGTCCGTCAGCGAAGATCAATTTGCCAGTGAAGTAGCCGTCCGCTGGTCGATTCACCCGAAAGACACCTGCTTCCTGGCTGAGCAAAAACTCGGCGATGATTTCTCTGGGAAACGGAAATCTTCCCGCCGAAAACTTACGATCGCATTGGTGCCGCCTCCGCATGGCGCCTGCAGCTTGCAAAACTTCCTCCGAACACATGCCCCTGCGAAGGGAGCCCCCGCGCGCCGCGTTCGAACCGTTTGTAGAAAAGAGCGCCTCGCTGACATCCGCACAGCACACCTGTGTCGTTGTCGGCCAGTCTGTGCTCATGCAATCGATCCATTGTCCGCGTAGTAAGCGACAATGAGGATCGCAAACAGTTCCGACGACGCTCGCGCCATCCAGCGCGCACCTTGCCGTCGCGCAACTGCTGCGCTCCATCCCAAAATATGGGGCGGCGCCGCGATCTCTTGCAGCCCCCCAAACGCAGCGCACCGATGGCCGACCGATCCCCGGCAACTTCTCGCGCAAGTCGGGCGGCCGCCACGGGTGCCAAAGAGGAGAGGTCGACATGGCCTGCATTGGCGCGGATCAGAAAATGGCCCCCACCCGAGCCCCCTCAGCCTGAGGACGTGCACATGCGTAGGAGAGCACGCCTTTGCCCGATTGACTTTGGAGCGCCCAAGGTCTTGCAGAGCTCGCCTAAGTATAGCCCCCAGGACCTCAGGCTTAACAATGCTATCCCAGATAGCCCGCGCCTACTGGAGCACAGCCTGGGCGCGGCAGTGCACGAAGGGGTCCATCTCAGAGGCCCGAGTCGAGGTCTTCATCTTGAATCTGGCCGAGGCCCCTGAGTCATCTCTGCACAGACTCCTTAAAGCCGACGTTCTCAAGTCACGAATCTGCGGGCCTGCGTGGCCCGCCACAGAGTACCCCCATATCGAGCCCGCTTGGGGCCCAGCTCGGCGCATGCCGCCGATCCTGCTTCCAGCTTCCCTCGAGCTCCTCAACCTCCTGGCTCCTCTAGCCCTCTTTGCGGAAACAGAGCTTAACCGTTAGGTTATGCCTCCTCCTTCCTGCTCGCGCATCGCATCCTAGACTTCGAACTGCGACATTGCGCTGGAACCCGCAGGCTTCCCATTCCTTCGTCCACCGATCGGCTGGGCAGCTAGTGGACGCTATGAAGGGGCCTTTCCACTACCCGACAAGACGAGCTGGAGCTGCTTGAAGCCCTGCGCGAGCTCGTGACCTATCCCGGCCATCTGCTAACCCACGCGCGACTCGGCCCCCGGCACCTGCGCCGAGATGTCGTCTACAACATTCCGGATGTGCGCTGCTGGGCGCGCAGTCGCACTTCTGTTTGTCGTGCGACGCAGCGAAATTATGACCAATGACGTCGCCCAACTGCAGCTTGCCAGCGCGGCCCCAGGCACCTTGAACACCTCGGAGGTCGCCCCCGGAACGAGAGCATCCTCGGGCCCAAGTACGGAGCACTCGCAACTTTTAGTAGCCGGTACTCAAGGATGGTGGCCACGCCTTCCTTGACCAAGGCACCGCGCGCCACGCGCCCCTAAAGTTTGCGCAAATCGGCGAACAAGGTGGCGGAGGCCAAGCCTGCCAGAGTGGCGCATGCAGCTAAGAGATTGCGCTGATAACTGTCCCTGTCGCACTCCTTGCCCCGCACTTCCCGAAAACATTCGCTCTTGCGCCTGTCCTCCCACTCCTTCGCCATGGGTTGCCGCGGTCGCGCCCAAACGCGAAAAAGACATGCAATCATAGCGATAGGCCTAAACCCGCCCCCGTCGGGATTGGCCATAAAAACGAGGATGCTGGGGTGCCCGCACGGCAAGACCGGGTCAGACCTCCGCGACATTACGATATCAATCAGCCGCGCTCAATATGCATCAAATAACATCGGAGAGCTTCTGGGGTTGATGCCATCGCATCTTAGCCCCACGCCGCGACGGAACCACTTCACAACATGCTTCAACTCCTCGGGCGACGGCCGCGGCAGAGGCGGCGCCGAAATAAGTTATCGCGCCTAACCAGCATTCATGTCGGAACCGAGCTCTGACCAGATATCTCCCCACTCCTCCATCATCGCCTCCACCGCTTCGTTTCCTTGCAAGCTCCACCCGTCGGGCCCAGCAGGGCCCGCTGTAGCCCTAGGTCCCTTAGCGGACCGATGAGCTGTCCTACCTCCTGCTCTTGCCGCCTCCTGGGCCCACTCCTTCCAGGCCCCCCGCTGCCTCCTGCTGCCTGGCTGAAGCTCCCTCTTGTGAGCTTCTCGAGCGAGCCCAAGAGCCCACCCGAACTCCCCCCCTCCTCTCCCCTGCAGGTTGTTCACCAAGCATGCCATGCTAGTGGCAAGGCGACTGAGGCGACTGAGGCGCGGCTGCAAAAGGTCCTCAGGAACTGCATGAGGTCGCTGCACTAGCGCTGTCCACTCATTGCCTCGACGACGCGGGTCATCTACCTTGAAAATGCAACCAGCTTGCCCAAGATAGGCCACCAGCGCCCCCAAGGCGCGGGCCTCCTTGGAACTGCGACAACCTCATGTTTTGGCTGGAAGGGCTTCGGGCTGCACAGTCTTCCTCCTGAACCCCGGCGCCCTCCCGGCGTGCTCGCCCCTCCCCTACCCGACGATGTCGGATTTCTCACGCAACTCGATGCCCGCATCGGTTGCCAAACATTTCCACAATGATTACACCCGCATACCTTCCCAGCGACCTCCCTCCCAGTCCCAAGTCTTCTCGGTCGGGAGCTCGCAGCGCCCGACACTGGGCTCGGTTGGAAAGGCCTCCCACGCTGCGCGAACATGCACAGGCACGTTGGGAAGAGACGCCTCGCGGCAAGAGCTCCACCAGCGAGCGCGGGCTGCAGGGAGCCCCCAACCACGCTCGATACGATTCGACACAAGTCTCGAGGCCGCGCGAAACGATAAGAAAATCCAGATTGCCGCCTTTTTCCCGCCGAACACGCGTCAACAGGCGGCGTCAGTACCGTTGCGCCCATCACGGCGCGCCACTTCTGCAAGGCTGGATCTTGGGCACTCAGATCGGCGTCGCACGCCAAGATCCACGGTGCGCCACAACGAGGCAAAACGAGGCCCGATCCTTCGAGCGAGTCCAAATTCGCCCCAGAGCACCCACTACCAACGTGGAACTACCCCGACATCCAGACAACCCCCTGCGGCACAATCGCTTTCACTCTGTCAGCCACGACGCGCCGCCCCCCCCCCTCTGGAACGGGAACCCGATTGACATGGGCCTTCGGAGTCCACTAAAACACCCGCAGACATAGCCAGCTCGCGGCCACCCGTAGACACCGCTGCAGCCGCGCGGCCGCAATGCCCAGAGGCCCGCAGAGCTCCCAACATAGACTGCAACTTGAACTCGTCAAGCACGCGCGTCTTCTGCAAACCTGAAAAACTGAGGCAGCTGCTCCTCTAGCTCCGACCTCCAGTCGAGCACGCCCCTGCTGGACTCTCAGGTGTTGCCGCGGCAGGGAAAAACCAAACGCCGTAGCATCCTTGCGCGCCTTAGCTGGCCGAGAGCGCTCCTCAGCAACTTGAGCGCTTCCGTTGGGGCCCTGGGGTTCCTGAGCGCCACCCGGAATGCTTCCCTTCAGTTTTCCGGATGGCGATGCCTTTCCGATGGAAGAGTCTAGCTGCCGCATTAAGCCTCTCCTTAGTCTGCCGGATCGGTATGGCTTGCGCTTCTCCTCCTCCCCCTCCGGCCTCGTCATCTGCTGATGCTGAAGCTGCGCCTGCTTCGTGCTGCTGCTGCTGCTGCTGAAGCTTGCACTGCTCCTCCAAAAGCTTCCAGCCCTCTGGTCCAAGGGCTGGCAGCATGTCTTCATCTCAATATCCGCTTCGGGCTACCGCGCGCGCGGCAGCCCCCCTAGCAGACTCATGCTGAGCATCGGCAGACAGATCGTGCGCAGCAAGCTGAACACTCCAGTGGTCCTGAACCAGAGCTTCGGGAACTTTGATGAGCTGGGCCATCTGCGGGGACTTGCCAATTTGCTGCATGCACGCATGAAGCTCCTCCAAAACTGGCCGCGGCCGCCGCAGCCCGACCCTGGAGCGAAAGCGAGAGGGCGGGAAGGTCAGGCGACGTCCGCGCGATCTGTGCGAGTGACTGCTTCTTGGCCCTCTCCCCCAATTTGGAGACATCCTGCTTGGCCCCCCCCCGCCTTCGCCCTAGCCACCTGAACCTCAGCCTGCTCCACCTCCTCCCCCGTAGCATTGGCCGTTGTCTGAACTGCAGCCACATTGCCCGTCGCCTCCTCCAGACGCTGTGAGAAGCTAAGCTGGCCGACGCCCCGCGGGCGCGTTTCTCGAAGCTGGATCTCCAGCTCCTTGACCTCATCGTCGGCGATGCTCTTGTCCGCCTCGCTGGCGGCAAGCCTTGAACTGTTCTTCCACAAACTAAGGCGGGCCTGGAAGACTTTAATTTGGCGCGCCTTCTCCTCGGGTTTCCCCTCAGAGACCCCTTCCTGGTCGCGCCCCCCATCGCCCCCCCCCCTCCTTCGCCCGCCCCTCCTCCCGCAGCCGCTGCGATTCTGGATTTGGTCGGGGATTGGGATGCTGATTCGGGGTTCCCCAGTTTCCAAAGGATCCGAGCCCGGGCATCTCCTGCCCCCCAGCGGCCGGCGGGGGAAGGGCGGGGGCCACCCCCACCCCCCCACCCTCTCTCCCCACCCCCACCCCAGTCTTCTTCTTAGCCGCCACAATCTCCCCACGCGCATCCCCTGCAGCGGCCGCGACTTCTCCTCTTTTTTTTTGGGGGGGGGGCCTTGGCCCCGCGCTTGCGCGCGACCCCCCTGGCCCAGTTGCCCACCTGATGGCAAGTCTCGCATTCCCAGAAGGGTTCTCTCGACCCCGGCAAGACATCCCTGGGCGGCGGCGACTTCGCCACGCACAGCGCGGCGACACCACACTCGAATGCGCTGGGCGCTCCGGCAGGAGCTCGCAGAGAGCGGCCCGGCGGCGAGGGCAGCTCGACAGGCAAATCGCGCGCCGACGGGAAACCCCCGAGACTGCCGCGCGGCTTGAACCAAAATGGCTACGGAATCCTCCTCCCCCTCCTCCTCCTCCTCCTCCTCCTGCTCCTCCTCGCCCTCCTCCTCCTCCTCCTCCTCCTCCTCCTTCTCCTTCTCCTCTTCACCTCCACCCCCCCCCTTCCCCACTCGCCCCCCCCCCCCCCCTCCTCCTCCTCATTCCCCTTATCCCCCCCCCCTCCTCCTCGTCGTCCTCCTCCTTGGAGCTATTTTGGCCAAAGATGCACGGTTCTCCGTTGGGCCCCGCGGATGACGCTAGTCCGCGGCCAGAACCCCGCCCTTTCTCGGCCTGTTCGCCCAGGTCTGGATCTTGTCTCGCCAGCGTAGGACAGGGCGGTTCCCTGCGCTTCCGCGCCGACGTCGGAAGGTAAACTGATGCCTTGCCAATCCCCTCCCTCGCCAGGGCCACGCCGCCATCGCACTGACGCGCAACCGCGCGGCACGGAGCAAGCACCGCTGGTTCCGCGATGGCCGCGTCGGCCTGAGCGGGCAGCCGCGGCCCCGCAACGCAGATGCAAGCGCGTGCTCACTGTGCAAGTTCGGCAAAAGGTTGCGCGTCAAATCGTATCGCATGCCAAATACCTCGCCTTCCTTCCGTTCTGGGCGCTCGGCCTCGAGCTGGGCCAACTCGGCCGAGGTGCAGAAGCTCGCGCGAGCGCTGGCGGCTGCCGACGCCAAGCTCCGCCAGGCCCAGTCCAACGGCGGCGCGGGCGCCCCTGTCGAGGATGAAGCCACAACCGACGAGAAGGCCAAACAGCGGCTGCGCCAGCTAGGCGGGCTGCTCAAGACGGCCAACTCCCGAGGCGACCCGCGCCGTCGCCAGGCCAAGGAAGCGAAGTCCGCCGTGCAGGCGGAGCTGCGCAGCAAGATCGCGGCCGCTCGCCCCCTTGGCCAGCGGCTTCGATATGTGGTGGCGCAGATCAACAACCAGGATCGGAAACTCTCAGGCATCCGCGGCCGACTGGCGCAGTTGCTGGAGCAAGAGGCTGCAGCCGGGCACAAGTTGGCGGAGCTTGACAAGCAGATGGAGGAGCTGCAGATGCAGCAGCGCGCGCTTCAGCGTGAAGTGCCCACGCCGCCTGGCGCCCCCACCGAGCCTGGGGCACGGCCTCTCGACGAACCCATCAAGAGACTCAACGTCACGTTGAAAGGCCTCGGCGAGGTGATGGGGGCGCTCGGTGCCGGGCACGCCTTCTCTGAGCGGCCACAGACGAGCCTGGGGCAGCTTCGCCGAGCGGGGGCCCGGGCGCGCGAGCAGCAACGTCTCGATCGGGAGCGCGCGGGGGAAGCTCGCCGAGGGCGCGAGGCGGGGGCTGCTGAGCCGCAAGACATCGACGTCGGCGACGACATGGCGGAGGCTACAGGCGAGACCGCCGTCGTCGAGGAGATGGCAGAGGCGGGGGGGGATAAGCGAAATATCGATTTCGTGCCGGCCAAGCATGGGGCCAAGTACAAGCGGCAGAAGGCTCACGCTTAGCGACTTCTTGCTCCTCCACTTCGTTTGTGTGCTGTGTTCCTCGTTCGGCATCATGACGTCGGTCGGCATCGCCACAGCTGGGGCGTCGTCAGGAGGTCCGCTCTTCGACGATCTTCGGACCTGCAGCAACACGTGCGTCGCCGTGCAGGAGCACCGCGCCATGGCCGACTCCCCCACCCTGGCGCAGGCGCAGCAGGACGCCTTGCGGAGGTATTCCACGGCATCTGAGAGTCTGCTCTGCCTGGTGCCTGGTCAGGGCGCGGGCAGCCAAAACTGCGTCGCAGTGCCGGCGCCGCGTCGGGCGCTGGCGACGGCGCAGCCCGCGCTGGATGGGGCTACTCCTGAGCCTGGGCGCATGACGGCGGCGCTCGTCTGCTGCGGCGGCAAGCGCGACTTCGCAATGATTTCTGTGTAACTTAGAGTGGGCGAACTCCTGCCCCCTGAGAATCTGGCCACGTCGTTCAAGGTGCATCGAGTTGCAAAAATCATACATGCGATGCAGGTGCCGTGAATCGTGGGAGGCAGCTTCAATATGGAGCTGAAGCAGATGGGCTCGCTCGCATGGCTCCACTCCGTCGACGGCATTGCTATTGCCCCGTCGTCGCCCACGCGTGCGCAGTCGATCCGTGACGGTGCCAGTGGCTTCTTCTTTGTCGTGTGTCAGCTAATACCTCGACTGGGGACAGCGGCCGCGGACGCTGCGGGCACGTGGCCGAATTGGCCTGCGACGGGAAAATTGCGCGCAAAGCTTCACGTGACGTGGGCTCGCCAACTTGTCGAGCCCAAACGCTTCACGAGAGCACCGAGGATCGGCTGCCTGCGGCCATCGCCTGATTTGGAACCGCTGCTCAGCAGATAGTTGGCCGGGTCGGCGCCTGACCTGGCACTCGCGTGGGATCGGCCGCTGTTCGGAGCGCAGTTCGAGATGCAAGGGCGCGATGACATTGTTGGGCAGTCAGCTGAGCAGTTCACCACAGAGCCTGCACCTCCTGACTTCTGCCGGGCGAAGTTCAATCCGGATGGGCGGGGACATCTGCAGCGGAAGGTGCCCGATGTCGCAGCTTGGCTCACGGCTGCCAGGTGGGCCGAGAATTTTCGCGGAGCGCGCGCAGCGCTTGTGTCTTTCATTCAAACGATTGCGTGTCAGACGACGTTTGCGCTGCCAGGTCTCGAGGAAGAGGCCAGGCCCCCGACTGCTCAGGGAGGCGGTGCTGAGTGCGCGGACTTTTTCCACGCCTTCTGTTATTTGCGCAATGCGCAACTCGCAGTCGGCCCCTGACCTCCTCCCCCATGCAACGCGCGGTCGTTGGTTCCGGCAGTGCCGGCTCGCACTGCGTGCAATCGTCGGGCGCGGGACTCAAGACCGACCCAGCGGGGCCGTGCAGCAAGACAGCCAAACACATTCTTGAGTTCGAGCATTCCCTGCAGCGAATTTGGGGCCGCCCATCTGCCTGGGGGCACCCGGGCAAGTGGGCGTCTGAGATTTTGCCCAGTGGGCTCTCCTCATTGTTTCCTGCTGCTAACGTTCAGCAGCCGGCGGACGAGGCGCCGCCTAATGCTGGGGCAGCACGCCGACGACGCGAGCTGGGAGCCACGACATCGTGGAAGGCGCGAGCAGGGGCTTCTTTCGCTGAAGGGGCCAGACGGGCCCAAGAAGTGTTCGAAGCCGTCAGCACTGCAGGAAACGATTTCGGGGCTGGTGTTCACGCGCGTGCCAGCTCGCTGGTAGGAAGCATGCCCATTGGAATGTGTAATGTGTTCTGGCAGACGCACGAGGAGCCGCCCATCGAGCGACCCCCTGATGCTGCTGAGTGGGGCCAATTACCTCCGTTGCGCGGCAGCGACGCGCGCAGCGCTACTCGGTCGCTCCGCTGGAGAACAAGCGTGGGCCAGCTGAGAATAGCATCGCGTGCGCTCGAGCATCTTTCGGACGCTGCTCTTGGCCAGCGCGTTTAGTAAAGTGCGAGCAGCTGTTGGTGCGGCCCGGTGCTCGACTCGTCGCGAAGCTGTTCGAGCTCCCCAGGACGACGGATCGTCGCTGTCCTCGGCGCCCCGATGCGCGCGCGGGGACGTGCCGGACGCCCCGCGTCTGCTCCAGTGGAGGAAGGGCCAAGCCGATGGGGAAGTCCGGGGCAATATCGGTGGCAACCATTCCACGCGCGATGCGTTTGAGTTGGCTCTGGAAAATAAAAACTGCGCAATTGGATGGGGGAACATGCCATGATTGCAGAGCTGGATATGCTGACGTGCCACGATCTGGTTCGTCATTCAGCTATTCTTGAAGCGTGCAAGGCCACTCGGTATCCCATGAGGCTGGAATACAGGTTGCAGTTGCGACTAGTGTATGCCAGTAACTCGCGTTATGAGGCTCGCCGAATTTGCCAGGGCACCCTGGCTGGATGCACACATGTCACCACGTCGCTGATGATGTGGCTGGCGCAGGGCATCGTGTTGATACCTTCGATTGCCAAGAAGGTGCGCCTTCGCGACTTGGCGGGCGATGTGGCTCTCTCTCTCTCTCTCTCTCTGAGACTGGCGGCGACCCGCGAGGGCCACGCATTGTCGCAACTCCCACCAGTGTTTCATGTCATGCCAAGCGCACTCTTGGTCTGGTGTTGCAGCTAGATAAGTCTGGTCACTTGGCGGTCACGCGTCAAGGGTTTGCACGGATGCTCAAGATCTAAAGCCAACGACACACGCGTCACCTTGGCAATGATATTGCGGAGCTCTCGGATGCCCGAGGGGTGCAGAAGGACAGGCTCACGAACATGCAAGCTCGCAAGCCCAGGCTGAAGGCGCTTCTGCGAGGTGCTGGGCGTGCTCGTGCGGCCAGGCTGTGGACGTCTGGAGTCTTGCCCTCTGTGGGGCATGGTGAAGCGTGAGTGGCACCAGCCACGGCGAGCTGAAGCAACTTCGCAGTGTCGCTGGCAGGTTGTGTGGGTTCAGTGAATCAGTTTCCCGTAAAACACTCGACCCGATGTACCACGCTTCTTCGTGTTTGCTTCAGCAGTATTCGGCGCGGGTTTTCGGTCGCAGAGGGCTCGGGTGGCCCTGAAGGATCACATCGTAGGCAATATTGGTACGTTTGCTTGGGCAAGCGCCAAATGCCCAGTTTCGCGGTGTGGCTCACGCTGAGACGCATTGACTGGAAGATGGCCAACGCGAAGGTGATTATTGATCATTGCGGTGTGGCCATAGGCTTGCTTCGTGTGTCCCAGCGAAGTGACGCACGTGCTGTTCTGTATCGAGCGGTGGCAGAGTCATCGCACCCTGAATCACCTCCCAGGGGCACCACCTCGGCAAGCAAACGGGCAGCTCCAGCACATATGGGTGCGAGTTCTGCGTTATGGCCATCTGCAGTAATTGCCTCATGGCCTTCGCGGGGCGCTTGCAAAGCTGCAGCCCGACGGGATGTGGACGCCTGCCCGTCGTCAAGCAACGGGCTACACGGATGGCAGCACCTGTGAGTGCTGTGGGCATGCGCCTGCTGGCGTGCAGCATGAGCTTGCCTTCTGCTGCATGCACGAACAGCAGGAAAACGACGAGCAGGCACCCTACCCCGATTATGTACTGCAAGTCCGTAAGGGAGTGTGGAATCGAGGTCCCGCTGGCGCCTACGTGGAGCGTGGTTCCCCGGCGATCGACAAGCTCCACGCCATTCCTCTGAGACCCGCCTTTCGGCCGACCGAACCCCACGTTTCGCCAGTGAAAGAATTGATCGGATGTTCGGGAAGCGCCTTGGCCCAGCAAACTGTTTGGTGATGGGTTGTGTTTTGAAACTGATTTTCCTGAGGCCCGCAGGTGTGGATGGGCGGCGGAGGCTCTCGCCCCGAACCTGATGCGATTTAAAACGATGTGTGGACGCCTCGGAGGACCGATCAAGACGGCTCCCAGGGCCGAGAGGTTTGCGGGGATCCGAGGTCCCGAGTTCGCGTCCAGGCTGCGCGAGTTTGTCACTGAACATTTGGCGTTGGCCACTGAAGGGGCCATGTGGTTTGGGAAGCATGCCAAAGGCACGCCCCCCCCCACGCTTGCATTTGGCGCGAGTTACATCTGGACCACCTGATCTGGACCACCTGCCTCGAGTCTCCTGGACCCGTGCTCACAGGTCTGTGGATGAAGGCATTGCGGTTTGCCAGCAGTTGGCGGACTATTGTCGGCACTATGTGTGCTGATCGCTTCGCCAAGCTTGCTGCTCTTGAGATGGCAGGCTCGGCTTCGGTGGTGAAGGCTGTCAAGTTGACGTTGAGCAGGCCAGGCTGAGGATGAGATGTCTTGCTGTCGCGGCCGAGCGTGTGGCCCAACTGTCGCCCCCAGTCATCCGTCGCCCTCTCCGTGTGCCCAAGCGTGCCGCTCGTGTGCGGCAGCCGATCGCACCCCAAGAGGCGCGATCGGCTCCCAGACCTGCTGGCGCCAGGCCACCACCCCGTCCTCTCTCAAGTCCCTCTCCTCCTGTGTGTGAACCGCAAGTGTTCGGGCCAGTTCAATCTGTCCAGGAGCTAGACAGAGTCATCATCTGCACACGGTGCGGAGCGCACGCGGTGCGGCCGAATCGCCTCTTGGTCGGACTCGTCCGCGCTTGCCGTCCCAATGGTGAGGAGGGTGGGGCGGGTACGTGTGGGAGGCGGGGGGGGGAGGGTCGAATCGATACGCGTGGGCGGCGGGGAGGGTACGTGTAGGAGGCGGGGGGGGAGGGGCACCATCTGAAGACTGGAGAAGAGAGGTGTTCGGCCGGCTGCTGTTGGCCCCGCTTGCGCCCGAGCCGGGGCAGGAGGCCCCCGAGGTAGGAGAGGTCGGGTTGGCGGAGGAAGTGTAGCCGCCGTCGTCGTCGGCCGTCCCTGGTCCCTCGGCTGCTTCGACGAGCAAGACCGCCCGCCCGCCCCCACCCGACCCATGATTAATACCGTGTGTGCTTCAATTATGTATGCACATTTGGCGCGTGCGCGCGCACGCAAGCTTCTGTGTGCACGCGCACTGTTGACGTTATGTCGTCCTATCTG